GCTCCCCGGAGGGGCCCCCACGGGTCCTGCTGGGCCTTTGCCCTCGTGTTGCCTGTGGGCTCTTCGCAGCCGGCCTTGGCTTTGGCCTTACAGGGACCTCGGAGAGAAGAGTAGAATATGACAAATGAACGCATTTTCAATAACGGTGGCGCTAAGCGAGTTGCAGTTGTGATGCAGGCCCTGCTGGGGCTGGCGAAGCCGGAGGGACGAGCAGCGTGGACGTTGTTGGAAGCTGGACGCACGCGCCGTTAGCCCATCACCCGGTGGCTGTGGGATACTTGGGGTGCTCTCTCCGTCCTGTTGTGTGCGCGGCTATTTGCGGACCTTGTCTCTGCGGGGTGGGGCAGCCACCCTCTGGGACACCTGGCACACGCTGGCGTCCTGTCGCGGGCTGTAGTGGACGACGGAGTCCCAGCTTTGTTCTCTTTTTTATGGTTATTTTAAAGTTTCCTGTCACGGTTTGTTGTGTTTTAGTAATTTCTCCAGCTATGTCCCGGGGAACCGAGCTGCGAGCTGGCAGGAATTTGCTGACGCCTCAGGTGCGGCTCCGGCTCCCCGACACCCTCCCCGGCGGTGGCCTCGCCTGCCCCTGCCAGAGCTGCGGCCTGTCGGGCGCCTGGAGCGGGCAGGGCCTGCCGCTGCCAGTGCCCTGCCCTCCTCCGCGCCCTCCTGCGCCGGGGGCTCTGCTCGGTGCCTTCCCTTTGAAAGCCCGTGCACGCCTGCAGCATTGCTTCTGGCCTTCTGAGGGGACGAGCTGGGAAATGGGGGTTTTCGGCACAGACATGGAGCGTTAGAGTGCCATAGACCCCGACCCTTCCTAGCAGCCTCTTCCTCAGCCAGCTGAGTGTCTGCAGCTCTGCAAGCAAGTTACTGCAAACGCAGGAGTTTTATTTTGAGGTTGGAAAAATAAACACTGTTCTAGAAATTTCAGGCACTGCAGTGTGGCTGACCAGACCTGTGGCCACACTCGCTCTCTGTGGCCCGTCGGCACCCTCAGAATCTCACCTCCTCTTGGTGCCATGTCGCCCCTTTCCCTTGCGGGTGACCATGAAGATGAACGTGTTCATTTCTAATTCATATGAGTTTTAACCACGAAATAACTGTTCCGTAATTTGCCCTGAAATAGTGTACCTGGGAACTCTGTTCTTTCTCAGCAGTCACCTAATTTTTTTTTTTAAGATTTATTTATTGATGCATACAGAGCTGAGGTACAGGCCAGAGCTGCAGGGGCGGTGAGAGGCTTCACCAGAGACAGAGGTTGGCTGATGGAGCACACTGCTGAGGGGAGCAGCGGCAGGTCAGGAGAGGTCTGCTGCATCGTGTGGGTCACCTCCCGCCGGGGCGGGAATCGAACTCATGCTGAAGTGGCTTTAGCTTCTTAGTGCTGTGCTTTAACCCGCTGCACCACCAGGGAGGGCCGCTCTTTCTTGTCTTTAACAGACTTATTTTTAGAGCCGTTTGAGTTCCGGGCAGTAATAGCTGAGAGCCGTTTCTCATGCCCCCGCGTCCCCACACGTCCCCGCCGCCCTGGCACGGCGCCTCCCGCCATCCACACTGCCCGGTCTGGCGTGGTGTGCGCTGAGCCTCCACCTGCCGGCCATCGCGCCACGCGGTGGTGACCAGGCCGGACCCCGTGCGCTGCCTATTCCCTCGGCCCCGCCCCAGAGCCACTGCTGGGCATAGGACTTGCGCACCTCTGCTGCCTGTTGCTCCCGCCGTTTTGTTCTTTGGTAATGGATGTCAAATCTTATTTTTTGTTTGATTTTCTAGTTATAAAATTTACAGCTGCTGGAAGGAGCAAGGTGCTGGGGCGCCCGCCGGGGTGGCCGCCGGCAGCGCTGCGCTCCTGGCCCCGCCCCCTCGCTGGTGGGCCGCCAGCGGCCGGCCATGTGAAGCCAGGGGGCTGCACGGAGGCTGACCTGGGGGCAAGGAGGTTTCAGGGATTTTTGCCTAAAAGCAGCATGGTTTCCATTAGAAAGTTCGCAGCAGCCTGTGGTTTAGAGGGGCTCAGATCCCGGCGCGCAGCTGACGCCCGGAGGGGCGGGAGGCCGGTCTGAACGTGCGGGGTGGGTCGGCCGCCCTCGCGGCCCAGCCTCTGGCCTCCGCGGCGCTGAGGAGCCCGCGGACGCGCACGGATGCCGCCCGTCCCGCGCCAGCCCGCCTCCCACCCGGGCCTTCTCCCACCCCGTCCAGGCTGCCCTCTGGGGACTCCCTCCTCAGGCAGCCTCGCGTAGGTAGACACACCCAAGGGTTGGAATCTGGAGAGAAACCTTGAAGGTAGCGAGACAAGGTGGATGTATAGCACAAGGAACTTAAAAGTTTTATTTTTTAAAAGATTTATTTGTGCCCATAAGAGCTGGGGTGTAGGCTAGAGTGGTGGGGTGAGGGTTCAGCAGAGACAGAGTGGGGAGCAGAATAAGCAGATGGAAAGAAATACACTGCGGAGGGGAGCGGCGGACGGGTCGGGCGTGGTCTGCTGCGCCCTGTGGGTCACCCCTCGTGCTGCGGGGGCTTCAGAGAGCTCCATAGTGCTGCGCTTTCACCCGTTGTGTGGTCAGGGAGAGCCCGAGGTGGTTTTTTTTTTTTTTTTAGACTAAGCTTTGAAATGTGCATAGAGCTAGGCCAGAGCTTATTCCCACTCTGGCTTGCTTTACTGTTTTAAGAAAAATAAAGGGGAGCAAGGCCGCGGTGGCCCTGTGTGACTCCACGGAACCGCGGCCCGGAGGCTTCCTGGCCTGGGGCTTGACAGCGGCGCTGTCGGGAAAGGGAATAGAACAGCGTGGGCCAGCCTTGACACCTGACTCCGAGGCCGGTCGAAGGTGGACTCGGGCCAGAGGGAGGCTCGAGTGGCGCCCACCTGCGGGGCCGGGGCAGGGCCGGGTGCGGCTCCCTCACGCCTGCGCTGTCTCGTGGGCTCGCTGTGCTACGAGCTTTTGCAGCTGTTTCAGAGGCGGGTTGCATTGTGCTTCTATTTCATGAAAACAGGAAAAGCTGCAACCCTGGCTGAAGCGTGGGCTTCCGACACATGGTCTCGCTGTAAGCGGGAAGACTGCTCTATGCGAGAAGCCGTGCGCATGGAGCCCACGAGGCTTGCAGAATCTGAGTTTGTCCAGAGGCAAAGTCAGATTAGGGATTTTAAATTGTTTCGCTTTCTCGGAATGAGAACCTTCCTTAGACACCACAGGCGCCGCTGTAGCGTACAGGCACGGGGCTCCATCACCGTCTTTTGGGTTGACTTGTGTGGGGGACCTTGAGGGTAGGCAGCGGGTGCCCTGTGGGTGCCCTGCGGGTGCCTGGAGAGCAGTGCAGTAGCCTGCACGTGTGCCCCCCCAGGAGGGAGCACCCCACCCACAGGGGGCACCAGGCCTGCTCAGTCTGACCCGCCCTGCCACCAGAGCCGCTTCTGCTCCCTCTGTGGGGAATGCTCTTCCCGAGTGGCCACCCGGGTCCCGCTCTCCGGCTGGCCACCCAGGGGCCATGGGCCTGCTGCGGTGGGGAGTGGCTGCTGCCCCCTTGGTGTTCGCTGCTTGTTCAGCGCACACGATACGAAACGCCTCCAGCTGGAGCCCAAGTGACTGCGGGATCAGGTGTCCACTGCATCAGGTGTTATCTCCCACAAGGCAGGGGGGTCTCCCAGGCTGCTCAGCCTGCAAGTCCCTGGTGCAGGCCAGACTGTGGCAGTCGCCCGTAGCGCCCCGCCCCAACCCCCCCATGTAGGCTGGCGCACACGTGAGTAGGAGCATCTCTGCAGCACCCGCATGCCTGGGCAGGTGGCTTGATGTTAAAGAGGAGGTGCCAGGCAGCACCCCAGCTGGCCCTCCCTGCTCCTGGTCAGCACAAAGGGCCGTCTTTGGGTTGGAAGGTCCTGTGGGCCCGCTCTGCTGGCAGCCGGGCAGTGGTCTCGACCATCGGGCGCAGGCGGAGCCCCATGTCTGCACCTGACCGAGCTTTTGTGGCGTTTCTCGGGGTGCCGGGCACGGAAGGTGCAGCCCTGTGAAGTGGGGCTCGGAGCGGCCCTCCAAGTAGCCTCAGCAGAGGTGTTTCCCTGGGCGGCCGGCGTGGCAGCCTGTAATGCGATGCAGTGGCGCCCGCGCCCGCCAGGGGGCACCGTGGCGCTGCCAAAGTGGCTGCGGCCAGGCCAGGAGCACGCCACCCTGACAGACTGCAGCAGTCTGGCCGCCCGCCTCTCTGCGGGAGCATGGGGTCACTCGGTGTGGGCTCCGCATCCAGGAGGGGGAGTCGGCCTGCCCTCTTCCTCGGGTCCCCGCATTGCCACCTGAACGTGGGACAGGGCAGGAGCCCCCGGGCAGCCTCTGGCCCCGCCTGGCCCTGCCCTTGGTCTGCACCTGCTGGGAGTGCTTCAGCTGGTTTCTGCCTGCCCCGCCTGGCTGGCCACTTTCCTGAGCCTCAGGTGCTCCATTCAGGGTGGGGGTGAAATGGAACTGCTGGAGACGAGTAAGAGACCATCCCTGTGCAGCGCCACAGCAGCGGCACGGTAATGCTCAGATGGCGCAGTTGGCACCACCTGAGGGGACTGGCCTGGCTGCGTGCCCTGGGGGGCCAGGAGGGCTGGCGCCATCCTCTGGGTACACGAAGGACAGGGTCAGCAGAGGTGCCAGGCTTTCAGGGCTTGGCCTGCTTCCTCAGGAGTCTGTGCACACATCTGTAAGGCCACATACCCCGGCGCGCGCCCTGCAGCTCTCTGGGGCGAGGGTGGCACGGTGTGGCCCTGTGCTGGGAGCCCCCGCAGGGCCCCGCTGCCCCTCCCCCTTTGTCTGGGAAGGAGCCCCGGCCACGCCTGTGCTTCAGCCCCGCCCTGCTCCGCTGCCATTGCTCAGCCCTGGCCTCCCTCCCACAGCAGCCCCCCTTACTACTTTTTTTTTTTAAACAACAGCCTTTTTTTTTTTTTTTTAAGATTTATTCATACAGAACTGGGGTACAGGCCAGAGGCTCAGGGGCGGTGAGAGGCTTCACCAGAGACAGAGCGGGGAGCAGAACAGACAGATGAATGAAGCACACTGCTGAGGGGAGCAGCGGGTGGGTCAGGAGAGGTCTGCCACACCATGTGGATCTCCTCCGGGGCAGGCGGGAATCGAACTCATGCGGAAGCGGCTTTAGATTCTCAGTGCTGTGCTTTAACCCGCTGCGCCACCAGGGAGGGCCACCACCCTGTGGTGAAGGACTAAGAAAGGGGCGAGGCTTGGGATAACTTCCTCCCTGTTTTAAAATGATCACTTAACACTTTTGTGGCAAACTCGGGCCTTCTGGAAGTGTGCTGCTTCTCAGGAACTTGAGTTCCACCTTGCCCGGGTGAGTGGCTAGTCAGTCTGAGAGGGCCTGATGCCGGGGTGTACCTGCGGGCGGGCTGGCAGGCGAGGAGGTGCTGCCTTTTGTCAGCTTGGACCCCAGGATAGGACTGTGGCCCACCAGGTCGATTCCAGAGTGGCCGTCCTCCCCCTGGGCATCTCCCCACAGCCAGGACTCTGGGGCGGCTGGAGGCGCTGTGCCTGGAAGCCTTCACCCGGGCCAGCGTTCCTGCCTGCACCTGGCCGGGAGCCGCTCTGGGACGACTCAGGCAGGCCGGACCCTGCGCCGTTCTGTGCGACCTGGACTGCTTGCTTGTCCTGTGCGCACTCGCGTCTCTGATGAGTGGAGAAAGGCCATCAGTGCAGACGAGAGCAGAGCGCTTGTTTTTCAGGTCGGCCTGGGAGAAAAGGCTGGAAATGCAGGCAGCACATGGACCCTGGCCCGGCCAGCAGGCCTCCGGCACTCTCAGCGCTGGTGAGGCGCTGCTGGCCGCAGTAGGCGTCGGCTGGAGGCTTGGCCAGAGCTGGGTCGTCTCATGGCTTAGCTTCTCCTTGACATAAACCCATGATGCTTGTTCATCACTCTCAAATGAGACCGAAATTGAACCCTAATATAATGTTTCTTTTGTCTCTAAGCCATTATATTTCAAAGTACCAAGGTGATGCTGTTTGTGATGGCAAATTTAAGTAGATCTGAGTTTTGGGTTTTTTCTAAACAAAGAATCATGCTCTCACCACCCGGAGGTCAGTAGTGTTAGCGATCGAGTGCCTTCCCGGCGCCTCCCCTGGGGTTCAGGTGTGTAAGATCCACAGTGGGGTCCTGAGACTCCAGGGACTGTTACCACCCTGTCTCCTCTTACTGGGGGGCAGCGGTGCGCAGGGGGAGGTGTGGGCAGCCAGCGCCCCCTCAGCCGCGTCCTCTTGCCTTTCAGTGGACGAGTACATCGCCATTGCCAAGGAGAAGCACGGGTACAACATGGAGCAGGTGAGGCCGCCTGCGCGGGCGTGGCGGGGTGGGGGTGCCCTGCGGCGCTGGGCCTCTGGCGCCTCTGACACTTGCCGCAGTTTCAGCGTTGTTTGGAGTCTGTTAGTGAGAGACCTACAAGAGTATTTTTCCTGAGAAAGTGTGGCATCTGATTGCAGCCCTGGTTCCGGGCTTTCACAGTGAGTGGCCGAGCTGGGGCAGTGAGCACGGTCTCAAGCCCCTCGCCCGCCAGTGCCCGGGCGCCCCAGGGCAGAGGGTGTGCCCCTGAGCCAGCTCCTGCTCCTAATTATCTTATCTGGTAGCATTGTTAGAAATTACCCTAGGTAATCTTTCTTGCTTCTTTTTTTAAAGGTTTATTTTTACTTATGCATGTGAGAACTGGGGTGCAGGCCAGAGCTGCAAAGGGGGGGGTGGGAGGACTCCCCAGAGACAGTAGGGAGCAGAACAGGCAGGTCCACAGAAACCCACTGCCGAGGGGGACAGCGGGGACAGGAAGGGTCTGCTGTGCCCTGTGGTCACTGCCTAGTGAGGTGACACTCGGCTGCAGGCTGTGACAGCTGATAGCATGCGGCTCACCCCGCCCCCCAGGGGGCCCCCCTGGCTGCTTTTCCCAGACTTGCCCACAGACTTCACAAGGTTGCTCAGCTGTATCCTCCCATTTGGTCTCTTTGGCATATGTAAATATTGTTGGGTGATCGCTAAATATATTTGTGTGAATTTGTAAGGGCTTTGCTTTTCAAAAGTTGGAACATTTTCATGCTCATATTACAGGTGTTTTCTCAGGAAAATGTCCCTGAATTCTCTCTCTGAGATAAAAAAAAAAATCTTTATTTTTGGATTTTCGAGCAAAAGAAAAATAAAGCAGTTATGAGCAGATTCCTGAGCCCCCTTCCCTACCCCCTTGCCAGCGCCTGTCCCGTGGCCCCGGGTGGGAGCCAGGCCAGGCTGGCGGCCCCTCGCTCTTCTGGTGTAAGCGGGCGCGCCTCCTGCAGCCACATTTCTTTGTTAATGTTCATTCGTGTCTTTAATCTAAAATGTCACCGATACTGTTTTTCTAGGCTCTTGGAATGCTATTTTGGCATAAGCATAATATTGAGAAATCATTGGCTGATTTGCCCAACTTTACCCCCTTCCCAGATGAGTGGACTGTGGAGGATAAAGTCTTGTTTGAACAAGCCTTTAGTTTTCACGGGAAAACTTTTCATAGAATCCAACAAATGGTGAGTAGACGAGCCCCCGCCCGAGGGCGAGGTCGCCGCCTCGTGTGCAGGCCCCTCTTGCTAGAGCCCCCCGGAAACAGCTGGCCCTGCCACCGCGGCGGGACGGCACCTAAGTGAGCCTTCCCCTCTCTGCCGGGACACCCAAAGATGAGTCCTTAGCAAGGGTTTTAGGGATGATCTGAGCTGTTTCTGGAGAAGACCTTGCCCACCTTCACCTTCTGGAAAGCTCCTTGGTGGGCCCCGGCCATGAATGCCAGTAGACGGCTACGTCAGGCTCAGAGTACATTTAAAAACAGAACCCCAAAGTCACGCTAGAGCTTTGGGAGTGTGAAATTTGCCCCCTTCGCTGGACTGTATCGTCTTTTGAGCTAAGTGTACAGTCGAACGCCAGGCAGGCGGGCCGGGTCGGGGCGAGGCTCTGGGTCCGTCAAGGTCAGCTTTGGGCCTGAGCCGACTGTGTCCATCGTTCAGCTTCCTGATAAGTCGATCGCCAGCCTCGTGAAGTTTTACTACTCTTGGAAGAAGACAAGGACCAAGACCAGCGTGATGGATCGCCACGCCCGGAAGCAGAAGCGGGAGCGTGAGGAGAGGTCAGTGCAGGCGGCGCTTCACTGGCCCTCCCCAGCCACTGGGGCTCTGAAGGCCTGGGAGCCCACGCAGGAAAGGTGGGGTGGCTGCATTTCCCTCGCCCCCTCCCGGAGCCCAGCTCGCACACCCCGGCTGCAGGCGCGTGGGCTGTCAGCATGGGCTGCACGCTGGGGCGCAGTGGTCCTCCGTGTGCGGGGGCCCCGCCCCGCGTCGTGCAAAGGACGCCTGGCACTGCCTGGGCTGAGGCGGGCTTGGTCTGCTTTCATGTTTGGTTTGTGAAAGGTACAACAGTCTGGATTTCCTCCCCATTTTCATCACCTGCTTTGTGAATTTAGGGGGTGCATCTTGTGATTCCTCAGTTAAGAGTTTCGCAGACCGTGCAGGCTGCGTCTTGGCCGCAGCCTGTCTGAAAGGCGGCCCCGGGTGGGCTGGGCTGGGCTGGGGGGCGGAGCGGCTGTGGCCTCCACCAGGGCCCAGCTTGGACCCTCCCAGGCAAGGCAGTGGCCACTCTCCTCCCCAAGCCTTCACTCTCCTCCCCAAGCCTTCATTTCCTCTGTCCAGAAAGCCGGACATAAATGTTATGACCTTTTTTTTAGGTTTGTGGAAACATCAGTGGTTTTTAAAACCTGTTTATCACTTTTTTTTTTTTTT